AGCTACTTATGCTAAGATATATGCACAACGCGCGCAGTATTTCACTGTGCTCCAATATGCCAATTGGCAGGCATGTCTCCTGCCAAATGGCAGTTCCGGCGTTTGAGCGTTGGGCGTGTTCGGGTGTATTCCAACGAATATGGGCGTATTCGGACGTATTTGGACGGATTCGGGCGGGTACAAGCTCGGTCTAACGACGCCAAAGCTCGCAGACACGAAAACAGCAAAAAAAACCATGTAAAAGACAATGTAACGAAAGAAAAAGCCAAATAGAGAAAAAAATTCTTACCTGGAACTGTGCATCCGTATCTCTTTGTACCGGCGTGCACTACTCTTTCGTGTTCATTCCGAGTCGATATACTTACGAATCGCTTACCACAATCCCATGTGCAAGCGTAAGGTCGCTCACCTATACAATATTTTTATAGTTTCTTTTTCTCTTTTTTTCAGTTCACTCCAGTTTTCGACCCAAAGGTTCTGTTTCTCACATTTCTTGATGCTTCAATTTTGATTTATCAAAGTGAAGAGAGAAGGCTAAGAAGAAGCAACTTACCCGCTGTGTGTTTTCTCTTTATGTGCATATTGAGCGTCCCTGAAGTATTGAACTGGGCATCGCAATATGCGCAAGCGTAAGGTTTATCACCAGTGTGAGTTCGTATATGAGCCTAGAAATCACCAAGATGATTATTTAAAGGAAATAACTCAATCCCTTGCCTTAATTTTGCTTGCATGCTTGAGCATGAGACCACAGACTTGACACTGCACAAGCATTGGAGCACGAACTGGTCTAGTCTTGCGCTTTTTTATAGGGATTCCAGTGATCACAGACTGAATCACTTCATCAAGCCTAGAAAGAAAGTTGGAAAGCAATTAAAAAAATATAAAATTAGATGATTATTCACCTTTTGCTTGCAGCAGCTGAGATGGGTGGCTCAATTTGCCCAACAGGAGGTGCAAAATCAACCATTGTGGCTCGTTCTTCATCGCTTTGTCGCGGTCGATTTTCAGGTTTTGAGATAGCTTTATTCCAAACATGACGTTTAGGAGGTTTCAGGTATGGTCGTGGCGGTCCGCTACGCTTCTAAAAGAAATATCGAACAAATCGAGTAAACTATGCAGAAATTGAGTACGAAACATACCGAACCAGTATGTCTCAGCTCATGCGCATTCTTCTGAGCATTATTGACAAAACTTTTCCCACATCCATATCCACAGGCATAAGGAGTCTGACCCAAATGGCGACGTACGTGATTGAGCATTGGAGTGCGCTGAGTGAATTTTGCGCCACAGATCTCGCATTCGAAAGGTTTTTCGCCAGTGTGAGTGCGCATATGAGCCTAGAAAACGAGTGCCCCAACAACATCAGATTAGCAAGGTAATGAAAAGCTGGGTACGCACCTCTATCTTTGACGGATGTTTCACAACAACACCGCATACTTCACATTGTACAATCGTAAGCGGTTTTCTAAAATGACTCAGATTAGTTATAGGCAGTTAAACAGAATCTCTTTCAAACAGGGCACAAGATGTACTGCGCACATGAGGCTAATAACTAACAAGGGGAGGAAGGTCGGTCAAAGTGGCCTTTTCAAATGGTCTGCACACCATCTTGTAGAGCTTAAACGCTGATTCCAAATTTGCCTTCGCTATCTGCTGCGGC